TCTCCGTGATTCCTCTTGGAACTGGAGAGTCGCGCGAATCCTCTTTCTACCTTCCACTTGTACACAGATATTCCCATTTTCTTTCTCTCCTTATTTCTCTCCTCTCTCTCTCTCCCTTTCTCTTTCCTTCGTCCTGCGCAAGTTCGTGGTCGTTTTTGACCGCTGCCACGTTTCTCGTATCGTTCCGCCTCGCCTCGACCCTCGCGCTCGCGGGGGAATCTCGCCAGATAATAAGCTGATAAGGGATTTATAAATCCACTCTATGTAAAATACACGAGCATCTGTCAGGCCGGTGGAACGATCTCCGTGATTAGCTCGGGCCGTGTACGTTGTACCCCGTAACGTGTTGTTGCTGGTGATCTCCTCTGTTTCGCTTCTTCTTTTCTCCACCAAGACGCGTGTAGCAAAGACGGGGGGGGGGGGAAGCCTCTCCTTGTTAGCAACCCTTAACGCTCGTAGGCGATCTTCTGTTCGAATGCGCGGGGAAAGCTACGCCGCAGCGACGTTTACAGGATCCGTGTAATTTAACGGATGCGCGTTGTGTGTCAAAGAACGACTCGAGCGAAGCTGCAACCACGAAATTAACAAACGTGAGATCTCGCGGAGTAAGCCAGGATCACGCTTCGAAACGAATAATGTGCCAACGTTTACACGTTCGCGACGACTGTAATGACTTGACAAAAAAGAAAAAAGGTGGCGATGACTTCTCTCGAAACACGTTCACGGTTTTCGTGAGATTCTCGGCCTATTATAGGGCCCTTAGAGGCCTAAAGATGACACATATTATTCCGTATATTAACACGTAACACGTCAAACACACGTCACACGGCTACACCTGCGACTTCGTGATCCCCTGCACACGCACACCGGTTTTATTTATGCAAAGGCACTGTTTTCGATTCACGGGGATATCCGATGGAGAAACCGAAACGCCCGTCTCATTCACGTGGCCTGGTTATAAACGTCCGCGTAAATTCGAGGCTGGTTAGAGATCGTAAAGTAGCTGAATACGCTCGATATGGCTGTTGGCTTGCCACGGAAAATCATAAAATCCGCTACGCTCGTTCAGAAGAGAAACCAAGCTCCGGAGGAGTTCACGGGCCTATTACTCGGATTGCTTTCTCACTTTTCGTCCCCGTTCAGTGTCGATAGTTTGAAAGTTTAGTTCCGTGATCGGAAAGAAGACCTCATCTTTAAACAAAAGTTTCACGAATTTTAACTATCTCGTTTCAAATTCTTCTAAACAAGATGTATCACTCAAAGACAAATGTACAACATCTTTCGACAAATTTCTTCCCCAGTATGAAAAGTTTACTGTGACTGTGACAATTGAAATTAATGTCGGACGAGAAAGATATTTCATCGCTTTTAGATCTTTAGCGCAGGGCGAAGAGACGAGGCGATCGTGGCGGGTAAGAATCGAGAGGTACGAAACGGTAGCGAGGCAGAAAATAGGCCAATCCACGGGCAACCAGCGGTTTTTGTCGTGACAAGAAAAGGAGCAACGAACCAGCAGATATCTCGATTAGATTTACCGACGCAACAACTACGGGGCGAAAAGTGGTCGCCCGACTGACGTAGCAATGCGCAGCCTGCCACAACAGGCCGTCTGCTCTTATTATTATAAATTATTTATTTGCATTTCCAAATGATCCTTGAAGAATCACGGTATTATGCTAATGCGGAGATTAACATATAGGGAGGGCCAACGCGATATTTCAACTCGCCTCACCATTTCGACTGTGGGAGTCTAGCCAACGGTGTTTGATCTCCACACGACTCTCGAAAGAAAGGCGCGGGCCGGGGATGGATATTTTATCATTTCTCCTCCTGCCCGCTACAAAAAGATTCGTACGGTCTGGCTAGGGAATTCCTGTAGCTCCGGCCAGCGAGAACAATGCTTTCCACGCTGGGGATCATTCGGCAGCCGATTCGATCGGGAGAAACACAGACGTCTCCTAGTTAAAAGTGCTTCTAATTTTCGTCGAAAAATCTTACCGAATTTCGCGAGTACTCGAAGTAGATGAAAACACGATACCACATCCGTTATACAAGTATCTTTACAAATATCTTAATATTTTTTTCAATTTGTTCAAATTTATTTATTTTGTTTACAAAATTAACGCACTCTAATAAAAATCAACGGGCCGCGAAGAAATTGACCGGATATGCTGCAATTAATTATCATAGACAAAGCACATTAATTAACTGCAGTGTTCTCGTCGAGTTTGGAGGAAACCAACAACGCTCGTATCGTCGTATTTTATAAGAGGATCAAAAGAACAGTGGGTGAGAAGCGAAGATGGGAAGAGAAGTTCTATTCGATTCTTAACGACAGCAGACGTGAACAAATTCGAAAGAGCAATCGAGTTTAGAGCACCGATTCGTTTGCGACGATACACGTCAAGGCGGCGAACATTGTAATCTTTGGCTAATATATTACGGCGTAGCTAGCGGGCAGTAATTTTCGCGTAGCGATCGCGTCCGGGACCCTGTGTGCCCGTGTGAAAGAGAAAGGGAGCACGAGAGCGAGAAGGAGAAGGCGAAAGAGTCCCTTAAACGACTTAACCAAACGTAATTAACGTTGGCCTATCATTATGTGGTAGCGGGACCACACCCTCGTCACATTATATGTTTATAAATCAGGCCGGAACGGCTTGTAAAAAACACGACGACGAAAATCGAACGAGTCCGGGGGCGCCAAGCCTCCCCAACCACCGGAGGAGAACCGGAGGAGGAACAGGCCGCCGCGCCATCCGAGGAGAACCCGGTGTGTCCGTGCCGAGCAGGTAGAAGAATTCTTATGCTAATGATTTTATGATCGTGGAAATGAATGCTCGTCATATTTTTTTAATCGCCTGGGTTTCCACGTAGCCGCGAGTCACGCAGCCAGCCAGAAACGGTCTACGTCTCTCTCTCTCTCTCTCTCT